ATCAGCTACATGCTGCCAGCTCTTCTCAAGCAACTGGTAGCTCTGCAACTTCTATTGTTGATGTCCCGCCAGCAAGTATGTTTTGTGTTTAAGTTATTTGATTATTTTTTCTGTCTCCAGGTCCTGATACAGCTCCTAAGCGTCTCCATGTATCTAATATACCATTCCGATTTCGCGATATCGATTTGAAAGCTATGTTTGAAAAGTTCGGAACTGTTATTGATAGTGAAATCATTTTCAATGAGCGCGGAAGTAAAGTAGGATCACTTTCTGTTTTATAACCAATACTAACTGTTCGTTTGAAGGGTTTCGGATTTGTGACTATGGAAAAGTCGGCAGAAGCGGAAGCAGCAAGGAAGGAGCTTCATGGATCTCAGGTTGATGGCCGCAAAATAGAAGTTAATTGTGCAACTGCTAGAATTCATGCCAAAGGTCAAAAAGTTCGATTAGCTGCAGCAAGTGAGATTATTTGTCAAAAAAATCAATTTTCAATTTTTTTTATCTACAGGTTCAGTGTTAGAACAAAATTTCGCTGCTACAGCCATACAGAATATTGCTCTAGCTAATGCACAAAGAGCTATGTGCTTGAGAGCTCCGACTATTGCTTCTTCCCTTATATCACGTCCTGGTGCAGGACTATTGACACCTGCAGCAGCAGCTTTTCCCATGTCAGCTGCACTGCCCATGATGTCTCCACATTTAAATGCTCTAGCTCTGGGAGCTCAACAGCTCTTGATGAGTACCCCTAGCAGTATTCATCAAGCTGCAAGTACTGCCTCAGCTTTATCTGCCGCCGTTAATGCTAGTGCCGCAGGTGGATTGGATCCCTCAGTAGCAGCTCTTTTTGCCGAACAAGCTCGAATGCAATTCGCAGCTCAAGGTAAGCTTTAGTGTTTTATAGTAAGAATTGATAATATTAAGCTGCAGCGCAATCATCTCTGGGAGAACAGTACTTAGGTCAAGCATTGACGACAGCCAACTTGACAGCAGCCGCAGCAGCATCTTTACCTTTGGGACATCCATACAGAGCGATTGGACGCTATACTCCATACTAACACGTGAACTGCTTTTTTGTAGTTTTTTTTAACTTATTAAGGAAATTCATTGCGCATACATTACTCTTTGACAACTCTCTCTAATAATCAGGTCTCTCGTGCACAATGAAAAAAATATTCTTTACTTACATGAATTGAACACTCCATAATATGTTTTTTTTTTAATCCTTTTTTTGTTTAGGCAATTTTCGTGATCATGTCAAATTCTCACATTTTGCTCTCTTTTTTTTTTCTTTTTTTTTATTTTTTATTCTCCAAATAATTGTTTTGGAGATTTTCTGAGCTTAACACTATCCTGCTCTTTACGTGTACTTTTGTATAATGACTGATGTTTAGAATGGAGCACATATTAATAGTGAAAAGTATACATTCCTTTTTTAATGAGATTGCAATTTTTTGATAATAAATTTATAAATCTCATTCTGTTAACAATATGTACACAAAAACGCAAAAAAAATGGTATCGAAACAAAAAAAAATCAGAAGAAAAAAAATATGATCAACTGGTCGTTCAAACGAATGATTCTATGGGTTTTGGTTCGAAAAACGGCTCAGGCTGCTGATCCAGAAAAAAAATCCAGGATTCCCGGATAAAAATGCCCTCAGGCTATGAAAATGGACGAAAAATCACGATTTTTGGCCAAAAAA